TTTTGGATTTTAAAAAGACTTGAGTACATAATACAAAAAAATTTGCAAATTTGAATCCTGTTCTGTTCCCATAGGGTGGGATCTTTATTCTTCTCCCTCCATGAGGAGGTTTTCTGGGATCAACCTGCACCACCACCATTGACGGTATGTTTAGTACTACTTGTCACATGCACCAGAACTACTAGTTATGGCTCTGCTTTCTACCCATTCAAACCTTATCCACTGTTCAAGGCCCAGCTAAGTGCCCCCTTTCCCATGAGACCTTCTAGGTCTGCTAAGACCAATGTTGACTTCATTCCTCCTATTGCACTTGAAATCTATACTCTACAATTTAATGTTAAAGGATATACTATGTTTTATTCTTCACTTGCTTAATGTATCTTAGCCTTATTTCCCCACAAAATTATTGGCTTCCTGAGAACAGAGTCCTTCCTGTCATAGGATTATAGATTTAGAGCTAGAAAACCCAGAAGAGACCAAAGATGCCACTGAATCCAACTCCTTCATTTTATACATGAGAAACAAAGAGGTTAAGTGACTTGCAATGCAATCCATTTCATTTAGCCTAAATTTTCCTCTTGGCAACTTTCACTCCCATGGTTCCTAATTTTGCTTGCCCTGGACAGGACGAGTACAATTCCTCTTTCTTAAGATAGCCTTTCAGATACTTGGGTAAGGAGAGCTATCCTAAGGAGCATCCTTAGAGTCTCCCTTCTTGGTTCCAGCTGACCAAATATGCTGGCTCAGCATGTGAACATGTTGGAGGTGATGAACTCCCTGGATACTTCTGGCCAGGTCGCGTAGCTCAGTGCTGAAAGATATGGGCACTTTGAAATGATAAGGAGATTCCTGTCCTTGGCTACAGAACTAGATAAGGCGATAGAAGACTCAGTGGACCTTTAAGAAGAGACAGTTTCCAACCTGGTCTCTTGTTTCAAATCTCCTGTGTGGCAAGTAGTATATTCTGTCTCTAGACTAGCCATGAAGGTTGCTGCTCTTTCACTCTACCCTACCACTCATCAGTCACAGCGTATGAAATCAACTAGGTAAGCTTGTGCCTGAGTCTTTGGCTGCCTTTTCTACCTTGCATGGCCCTTCCTAAGTATGTAATCAAACACCATTCTTAAGGCAGATGTGCGAGGTTGAACTCACTCTTATGGATTCAAGAGGTCCAGAGGTCCCGAGTCCCGTTGGTGACAGGAGGAGTCCCTGTTGACTATCCCAACACTCCAACCACCAAGAAAATGATTTGCATAAGGCTGGCTCATTTTTTTTTAGGCAGTTGGGGTTAAGTGACTTGCCTAGGGTCACACAGCTAGTAAGTGTCAAGTGTTTGGTTTGAGGCTGGATTTGAACTCAGGTCCTCCTGACTCCAGGGCCAGCGCTCTATACACTGCACCACCTAGCTGTCCCCCAAGGCTGGCCCATTTTAACAAATATGTGTATGTGTGTACATATATATGCGTGTGTACATGTATATACACACACATACACATATATGTACATACATATATGTGTGTGTGTGTATATATATATATATATATATATATATACATACACATATATGCACACACACACAGAGAGGAACATTTGAACAGTGAAAAGATGAGATGAAATGTAAAGTGCCTAATTAACAATTCCACAAACTGCCTTATGTTCTAATAATAATAATAATAATAGCTAACATTTATATAGTATTTACTATGTGCCAGGCACTATGCTAAGCACTCTACAATTATTACTATCTCATTTGATCTCCACAACAATCCTGGGAGGGAGGGAATTGCTTTTTTTTTCTTTTTTGCTATTTTACCAATGAGGAAACTGAGGCAGACAGTGATTAAGTAGCTTGCCTAGGTGCACACATTTAATAAATGTCTGAGGCTGGTTCTGAATTCAGTCTTCCTGACTTCAGGACTGGCACTATTCACTACGCCTCCTGAGAGAATATAATAGTAGTTATCAATTAAGTGATTGAATAGTGTTTTAAGTCATTCTGTCAATGCATGTTGTGAGTCTTCTATATCTGTTATCCTGGCTTTTGTGTATGGGAAATAAATATCCCATAGCTGATTTATATTTTATATTGATTACCTTTCTACTCTTTTTTTTTGGGAGACCGAGACATGAGCCCACACCTAAACTTTAAATAATTGGTTCCCGCAGTGCAAAGGTGAGAATGGGGAGGACAAGGGGCTAATATAAGCTGAAGAGTATAAGAAAAAGAGCCTTGTCTCATTTTTTCATTAGAGCCTAGACTCCCCAAGTTCTAAGCATGATAAGGACCACATATCTGGATCTGGAACAGAAGGACCCCTCAGTGAGGAAGGAGACAGGCTCAATGCCTCAGCCCCTTGGGTCCAGCAGGTTTCTACTGTTCCACTTGGAAACAGCAGATCATGTTTCCCCTAAGTCTTCTCTTCTCCAGGGTGAACATCTGTGGTTCTTGCTCTAATGTTCACCAGAATCCTAGAGGAATCAGAAACCACTGGGCTGAGAGTCACAGCGGCTCTACAGTCCCAGTACCCAAGACACAAACAGAAGACTCACAAAAACAGCCCCATTTTAACTAACACAGTGACAATGACTTTTTTGTCCCATATTATTTGAGCAGTTTGGGAATGGGTCGTTGCAGGGCTTTTGTTTTGTTTTGAGTTTACGGTGGAAAGCTTCCATCCAAAAGTGTAACCCCTCCCAGAGTGCTTCAGATCCAGGGCTCTGAATGAGACACCCTTTACTCTCATAGACTTAACAAAGAGCCCAGAAAGTATCCCAAGGGCAGCTCTCAGATTCAAAGCCTAAGCTGAGCTCAGAGCTAAACACTTTGGGGGAAGGGAGAATGAACTCTCTATCCTGGGGATATAACTCATTTTCTCCTTTAAAAGACCTAATTTCCTTTGAGGCAATCACAACTATGATGCTAGAGAATTACATAGAAATCCCCAACCAAAAAAAAAAAATAAATCCCCAAACCCTAGCACCTACCTCTCTGGCATAACCCAAGCAGAGATGCTCATTGGCAGGCAAATTCTGTTTCCCCAACCTGCATAATCAACTTTAAAAAGAGGAGGCTTTTTTTTTTAAACTAGAGAGAGTGCCAAGGACCTGCAAGGAGGAAGGAAGATCAAAGTGAGGACTGATCGATTCTGATTATGTGCCTCAATGCCAAAAGATTTCTGGTCTGATCTGTTTGGAAACCCCAGAAATGCCACTTTTCTACTAATGTGTTACCCTGCTGTGCATTTTATAAGATAATTCAGACCCCAAAAGAAAATCGGTTTACTTAGAGACTTAAGTTTTCTCAGTCAGACTTGGAAGAGAAATATATGTTTGGCCTTTGTGGCAAAAGTATTGGCTCTGAAGAGGACCCAGGTTCAAATCTCACCTCCGATGTTTACTACCTGGGTGACTTTGGTTGACAAATAACTTAAACTGTCTTGGGCCTCAATTTTCTCAACTGTAAAATCAGAGGGTTGGGCTAGATGGCCTCTTTGCTCCCTTCCAGTTCCTGGCCACTGGCTGGCCAATGGAGAACAAGCTTTCCTGGAACAGTTAAGAGTCTGGATTTGAGCCACACAGATGAAAAGTCAAGATAACTTGGTGCTTATATACAGCTAGCATTGCCCAAACTATCTGGTCTATGCTAGCAAAAAAACGAGAAGTGAATTATTTGATAATGTTAACAATAGACCCTAATTAAGTACCTAATATATGCAAGACACTGGGAAAAAAACACATGCTCTATGCAAGATTATAGATAAAGATCAATCACAGGATCCTGCATTTAGAGCTAGGAAGGGCCTAAGAAGTCATCTAGCCTAAGCTCTTCATTTTACAAGTGAGGAAACTGAGGCCCAGAGAGATGAAGTGACTTGTCCACCATCACAGGTGGCAGAACTGGGTCGTCAACTCAAGTCCACTGATTCCAAATTCCAAATCTAAAGACCTTCTGCAGTTACATACCCAGTTCTCAAGGAGATTTACAATTTAATGGGAAGGGATGGGAGAGAGAGGGAGAGAGAGAGAGAGAGAGAGAGAGAGAGAGAGAGAGAGAGAGAGAGAGAGAGAGAGAGAGAGAAGAGAAAGAGAGAGAGAGAGAGAGAGAGAGAGAGAGAGAGAGAGAGAGAGAGAGAGAGAGAGAGAGAGAGAGAGAGAGAGATGGGTCAAGTACACAAATAACTAAGAGATCAAAGCAAAGGAGTCTAGAAGAGTTCTGGGAAACATCTAAAGAAGTAAAGCTTACTTTCACCCAACAGAATGGGAAGGCTTCCAGGAGAAGGAGTAAGCACCTGCATTGGACCTTGAAGAAAAACCATTCGATTTTTCTTGGAATGGAGTGGACTTCCTCCAAATCTACCTCTTACCATAAGTTGGCTGGCTTAGGGATCTGATGCTCCATGGATGGGTGTCCAAGGCAGTTGCTACTCTCACCCACCAACAGGAAACTCAGACCTCGCCCTCCCCCAGTCACTGTCCTCCTCCATCGACCTTTTCTCTAACACATTTCCTCCAGTATCTGAAAACATACCAGTTGCTCTCTCAACTTTCCTGCTACATGCAGAACAGACTCCATGCCTAGTTTTTCCATCCCAGAATGGGGATAAGACTTTCTCCACTTTCTAAAGAGCCTCCTGAACCTTCTTTAGGTACTCTGCTGGACTTTCCAAGTTTCTCAAATCGAAAGCCTGTACAAACACTATTTGCCAACTAAATGATCTGGGATTAATTCACTTTATCAGGACACCTAGAATCAGGCTGGCTTTGAGACTCCCAGGGTAAATGGTAGAAATACATTTGAGTTGCATTAGGTCTTGAGGCCAAGGCAATCTTCCTGCCTCCCCCACCTGCTTCCTCTACCCCTCCCCACCCCCCCACACACACTTAGTTCTGCTCTCAGCAGGCATCACCGCATGGGGCCTGCCCCAGTTCTACCTCAATAAGACAATGGGATTAGGCCCTCTGGAAACAGCCAACCAAAGAGACTTTAACCTTTCACATACCCGGGGGGCAGAGACACTCAGGTAAGACTTCTCGGGTTTTCCGGTGCTTGGCCAGTCCTTCCAACTTCTGAATCGAGAAGAAGCAGAAAAGACAAAAGAAAAAAAAATGAGTGAGTTCTTCAGGGAAGAGAAAACAGAAAACAAATTGACTTAGCCAAAGGTTTAGGGGTTTCTTTTAAGACAATGTTTAAAAGTTCATTAAATTCCATGGGAAAATTTGGAGTTAGGCACAGGAACAACAAATCATTACTAGTCAGTCACCGAATAGGACTCGACATGTTTTCACTTCATTTCAACATTCTCACATACCACACTGTAGCTAAAAATAATACTGTAAATCAGGAAAGATGAACATGGGTCTGGCCCAGGCTGGCCAGAGCCACCTAACAAGGAAGGGGTTGTGATATGAAGCCATGATGAATGAGAAGGGAAGGAGAGGAGCAGGTCACCGAGTCAGAGAGGTTCTTACATTGGCGAATCACTGAGCTTGCTCTCAGGCAAGTTAACTTTGCCTCTCTGGGCTTCAGTTTCCTGATCTGTAAAATGGGATGATCATGTTTGCACTACCTACCCACAGGATGTTTGTGGCTAAAGTCTTGGAGAAGTGCGAGTGTTATAGTGCTCAAATTCCAGCTTAACTCCCTATGTGACCTTGGGCTCAACCACCCCGGCTTCAGTTTCCTCATCTGTCTCTGAGGTCCCTTCTAAAACCATGATCCTATAGAAATATAGGTGCATAGAAATATTACTTGTGTTTGTATCTACACACACACCCCCCTCAATAAACCTATGATCTCCATTGATGAGAATATTCACAGAGCTGTTGCTAGAAATTCTGGCATCTGTGGAAAATTCATTTGTGGGGAGCACCAGGGAGGGAGTTATGCTCACTCCTGTGCTATCACTCCTCAGGTAGCCTAGAGATGGAGATCATTGGAGCTGAGAAACCTGAGGGCCTGTAGTGGGACAGGACAGGGTTTGTTTCAAGGAGAAGTAGCTGCTGAGTGGTGATGATGGCAAAGGGAAGACAACATCAGGAACAAGAAAACAAGCCCCTACTTCCTCCTGGCCTTGCTTTTCAGGGGTGTGAAGGAAGGAGAAGCCAACCTTGGAGAGAGTGCTGAGATATTTATTATCTTCAAGAGGAAGCAAGGCTTTTAGTGAGCACCACAAGATGAAAATATGTAAGAGGAAAAGATCTAAGGTCATAAGATCATAAATCTGGGAGGGACCTTGGATATTAGGGGGAGGCTGACTTCATTTGACAGAAGAAGAAACTGAGGCCATGAAGATGACCGTTCTCAAGGTTACACAGGCAGTAAGTGACAGAGCCAGGATTTGAACCCTAAAGTCAGATATCTTTCTATTGTGGCACAGCAGAGGAAGGTGTCAGAGGATATGGTGGAGAGGGAAAATGCAGAAGGACAGTGACTGGGGGAGATGAGGGCTGAGTTTACTATTGGTGTGAGAAGGAAAGATGGTGGAGGTCCAGGAGGCTGGAGGCTGCCTTTGATCTATCTCAGCTAATTCCTGAAAGGGCATGTCCCTAAGACAGCCAACTTATGGTAGGAGGTAGAGATGGGAGGGAGTCCACTCCACTCCATGAAAAGTTAGCAGTGGAGGGAGAAGGCCTAATGGCCACAGGGCCAAGGAGGGAGGGAATACAGTAGCAATCTCAGGTCTGACAAGAGAAGGTGTCTCCTTGCTTTGTCTCCTTGCTCTCATACCCTATGCGTATCCCCTATAAATCTTCCATAGTGGGTCTACCTAATGTATTGGGGGACGTCCACTAAGAATGTGTATATGTATATGTGTATATACAAACACATGTATCCATATGCATATCTGTATATTCACACACATATTATATTCATCATAATCAGAAAGCATCTGCTGAGCCATTGCCTAGAACTTAATAGAACCCCAGTACAAAAGAAATCTATACAGAAAGAATCTTAGAACCATGGAATCTCAGAGCTGGACCAGGACTCAGATAACCACTAATCCAACCCATTCAGGGATTCCTTCTCCATCAATGGAACCCCACTGCTTACCAAATACAATGGAAACTCAACCAAGTTTCCATGCCCCCCCACACACAATTAGTCTCCCACCTTCCTTTCAAGCTTATCACACACTACTTCAAACACTACATTTCAGCCAAACTAGACTCCTGGCCATTGGCCATCATCAGATTCCTCCTGCCTCTCCCAATCTCTGTTCTTTCACCCAGGTCAACCCCTCATGTTGGGAATGTTGTCACACATGCCTTATCCACTGAAGTTCTTTTCTCCAATTTTCTTCCAATGCCTTCTTCAATAAAGGAGGCTATCAGAGATTCTGGAATCTCTTACCACAATCTGGAGCCCTCCTATATGCTTATCAAAGTTCACATGATAGCTATGCCTCCATTTGTCTCGTATCTGCCACACATGCCCCAAAAGGCCAGAACAATGGGACAAATCTAAGAGGATGAAATTTAATAGAGATAATGTAAAGTCTACACTTGGGCTTGGAGCAGCCGGAGTCAGGAAGACTCATCTTCCTGAGTTCAAATCTGGCCTCAGATACTTACTAGCTTATGTAACCCTGGGCAAGTCACTTAACCCTGTTTGCTTCAGTTTCCTCATCTGCAAAATGAGCTGGAGAAGGAAATGGCAAACCACTCCAGTATCTCTGCCAAGAAAACCCCAAATTGGGTCATGAAGAGTTGGATACAACTGAAATGACTGAACACACTTGGGTTTAAAAACATCACCTTTGCATGTAATGATGGAAGAGATAACACAGTTCAGGATGAAAAAAGAGTCAGGCGTTTTAAGTGGGCACGATATGTGTCAACAGTGTGACAAGGCAGCTGACAAAGATAATGTGGAACTTAGACTTCTTCAGGAACGACAGCAAGCCTGGTGTTGAGAAAGGAGAGGTGTGAGTTCTTCTGTCCCCTGCAGTGATCAAGGCACATCAGAAGGAGTGTCATCCCCCCTTCTGGTCACACCAGTTTAGGAAGGGGATAGGCAAGCTGGGGTGCATTCACAGAGGGGTGACCAGGATGATGAGGGTCCTAGGGAACCTGTCATCAGAGGATCCTTTGAAGGAAGTAGGGATGTTTAGCCTAGGAAAGATAAGACTTAGAGGGGACATGATAGCTGTCTTCAAGCATTTGTTTTGTTTGGCTCTGGAAGGCAAAATTAGGACCAATGGAGAGGAGCTGCAGAGAGGGCCAGCTTCGGCTGGATGGAAGAAAGAGCTTCCTAATAAATCCAAACTGGAAAGAGCTGCTTTGGGAGATAGTGGAATTCTTATCACTAAAGGCCTTCCAGCAAAGGTTGGATGAACCCTTATCCAGTCAGGTTGGACTCCCTGTCCCTTTTCACTCTGGGGGTGCAATGATTCCATGAGTTTAGGCTTCCCAAAATCTGGGGCCATAACTTATTTCATTTTATTATGTGTAGAACCTAGAACAGTACATTATACACAATGCCCACTTAATAAATGTTTTCATCTAAAAAAAAACTAAATTGGATGAAATTATAGCCTCCAAGATAGGGCAAGTCAAATGAGATAACAGATCTTGCAAATCTTTAAGCTCAATATAACTGTTAGCTATTAGTATTATTATCGTTATCACACCTCCCCACTCTGAGCCTCTGCTTCCATCTTGTCTCTTCTACTCCCACCCCCACTACAACACCTACAATTCTTTCCTGGAAACTCAGCAAGCACACGGTAAATGGTTGTCCTGTGTCTAAGTAGGTAGGATTTATCCATACTTCAAGGCTTAGCTACAGTGTCAGGAAGCCTCACTTGGCTCCCAATGACCTGGCCCTTCTCCGAGTCATTCATGTCTCTTATTAGACACTGATGGTAGACTTCTTGGAATGTTTAATTGGGAGAGTTTTGTCTCTCAAACCAGACTATGAGCTGCCTTGGTGGCAAGGACTTTCATCTTAAATTAATGGTGTTTCATGGGACTACCACATCCCTTCCCCATCTCGCCACCTTTTCCCTCCCCATTACCTGTCCGTCTCATCCATAGACTCAGTCCCTTTCTTAAACACATTGGATGGAAATATGTTTTGCATGACTTCATATGTATAATGGGTATATTTCTTACCATCTCCATGGTGGGGGGAGGGGGGATTTGTAACTGAAAATAAAAATAAGGATGAGGCACAGGCCCTTGGCTGGATGGAGGGGGGTCAAGCCAGGCTTCCTGGAGGAGTTGGTATTAGAGCTGGGCCCAGAGGTAGGGGATTTCAAAAATGTGGCTGCTCCCTTTACCCATCCCACACACTCTGCAGTTTAGGAGGCAAGTAAGCTTCATCAGTGTCTGGGGCTCCAAACAAACTCATTGGCCTGTAGCTATCTTCTGGGCACAAGCTCGTAGCACTCAGCTGAGCTGGGCCTCAGACCCACCCTGGAGTCAGTCAGTCAGTTAGTCATATTACATTATTAAGCACTTTCTATGGGTCAGGCACTATGCTAAGAGCTGGGGATAGAAAAAAAGGCAACAAACAGTCCTTGCTCTCAAGAAACACAAGCCTCAGAACACAGACCCATTCAGAGCCCTTCCTAATCTCGCCCCTCCAGTCTTTTCCAGTCTTCTTACACCTCACTCCCTAACACAGACTCTTAGATCCAGTGACCCTGGCCGCTCCTGGCTATTCCTCAAACAAGACCCTCCATCTCTCAGCTCTGGGTATTTTCTCTGGCTGTCCCCCATGCCTGGAATGTTCTCCCTTCTCTGGCTTCCTTTGAGTCCCAACTACAGGACACCTGCCCTAACCTCTCTTAATTCCAGTGCTTTACCTCTTTTAATTATTTCCTATTTATCCTGCATATAGCTTGCTTAGTATATATTTGTTGGTGTGTTTTAGACTGTGAGCTCCTTGAGGGACTATCTTTTCCTGCTTTTTGTATCCCCATTGCTTAGCACAGTGCCTGGCACATAGCAGGCACTGGTGGCACAGTGGATAGAGCACCTGGGTCTGGAGTTAGGAAGACCTGAATTCAAATCCAGTCTCCAACACTTACTAGCTGTACAACCCTGGGGAAGTCACTTAA